ATGTCTTTGTCCCCTGTTTATTAACTTTTTTGTTACTTACAACAGCACATTTACCTCAACTGACCTTCATAAACAAATTGTAACATTTTATTTAATAGGCTGCTGGGCCAGCTAACAATATAGTTTGTGGAGGAAAAAGAGGAAAAGAGAGGATTTTAACTAAATATATTGCACACCCTCTCATTTGATTATTTCCAAGAAAAAATGTAATATCTGCTTATTTAGAATCAGCCTCAACCATATACATATCCCCATTTGTATTTGCTAAATATGTTCTATTTGGATTCCTGCATGTGAACATAGGAGAGCCCTCTGATCACCATCTCTTCTTTACCTCCACCAAAAATATAATAAGTTACATACTTGATATTCTAAATGCTTATCTCCAGACTTTTCTGTATATTCATGTTGAAATTATGTATAGACACATGTAATGGCATACCTTGTATATTCCCTGGTCGCAGCCATTGTGAGTGCTCTCCATGGTATAACTTCTCAGCACGCCCATCTCCCTCCACACCACCACCCTGGCTGTGGAAGAGCGGGATTTCTCCACCTGTGCAAATCACAATGTAGCTCAAATATGATTTGGTTGAATTAAATATATTTACATTCTGTATATAGATGTGTTTTTTCTTACCAAATAGTTGCAGCTGTTGAAAGAGAAGGCTGGTGCGATGCTATCCAAGGTCTTTGGAATGGTCTAGAAAGAGAGAGAGAGAAGGTGGTTGTTGAATGGTAAACAGAGCTGAATTCTTTTTCATTTTTTTTTACGCTAGGTTTGTTTTTAATTAAAATGGCAACTTCACAAATTCATACGAATCAATCTGAATTATTACAGAAATCAAACTGAACATATGTGTCACTTCTGATCAGTAATTGACTACATTTATGTTGTTTTCAAATAATGATTCACAAAAAAGAACAAATAAGTTTTATAAATTATATATATCCAGTAGAGCTATTTTATGCATGCACACAGAAGCTCACGCACACTAACACACACCGAGTAGATTTTCTTTAGTCATAACACAGATGCTAACAATAAACCAACCAAAACACAAGTAAAAACTAATTGTTTTCGGCTTATCTTATTTTTTAACTGTATTATAACCGATGTTTTGTTTTCTGAAATGTGTGTGTGTGTGTGTGTGTGCGTGTGCGTGTGCGTGTGCGTGTGTGTGTGTGTGTGTGTGTGTGTGTGTGTGTGTGTGTGTGTGTGTTACCCTATATCCAGGGTCCTCTTTTAATCCCATAGTGTTAACAGAAGAGCCAGACTGCCAGAGGGTCTCCTTCAGACTGCAGCCGTACAGGAAGACGTTCTTCTTTCTGGAGTGGCCGTGGTAGTCACAGAAAACCTGGAAGACACACAGGAAGTGAGACAGAGCTTTGTAGGGCTTCATTAAACATCTTGGTAATAAAATGTAAGGCATTTGAGAAGCATCTCAAATACAGTTCCCTGTTTTCTGAAGATATTTCATCTGGAATTATTCAATTAAATGAAAATTATTCAATGAAATGATAGCTGCTGTAATAAAATCTTTGAATTTGTAACTCCGAACCTGATATATGAGATTAATATAATTCAGGTTATGTGCTTTAAAGGTCCCATGTCATGGCCATTTCTACTGATCATAATTCCATTGTTGAGGTCTACTAAAATAGATTTTCCAAACTCACATTGGTTTCTCATACAGCATCTCTGTAAAGTATGTGTATTCACTCTCTGTCCTAAACGGCTTTTTGGAGCCCCCCCCCTGTGAGCCCAGTGGCCGTCTGCGAGACAGTGAGACACAGCGAAACCCAGCCCGAAACACACACATGTGTGTGTGCTCAGGCTGAGTTCCGCGTGCCTCGCTGTCTCGCCGACCCCACACCAGTGAGCCAGCTCACGCTGTCCGCTCGTCGCAGCAGCGAGTCTCGCAACGTCCCACCGAGTATGTGTGTGTGAGGAAGTCCGCGGAAACGTAACGGCTCTGCGGATGTAACGTAACGGCACTATACCCAAATACGTCACTATACCCAAGAAGTAAACAATGGAAAAAGAGAAATCTCCAACGAGGCGTTCTGGGGCAGCATAGACAGGTCTTTTCTGTGTTAGAGTTTTACTCGCTACAGGGTGTACTTTGAGGGTGTGTGACTCTGCAGACCGTTTACATGCATTAAAAGCTACATCACACAAGGGGACTAGTATCTATAAATTAAGTTAAATTGATGATTGGGTTCACTTTAGTTGAGTAACTCAATTCAATATTCAGAGCTACTAGGTTCAAGGTTCTTTATTGTGTCATACGAACATAGCTACAGAACAGTGCAACACAAAACACAGATAAACAGAAAAATATAGTGCAAGTAAATAGTAAATACAGAAAGAAAAATAGTTTAAAATAGTGAAATAGTGCAATAAGAGTCGCAAGTTATTCGAATATGATATTTTAGCAGAGGTGGGGACTCGAGTCACATGACTTGACTCGAGTCGCATATTTTTGGACTTGAGACTTGCTTGACTAACATTGATAAAAGAC